AAACAGTCGGACCACTTTGGCCCAAATTCGTCTTAGAGGAACAATTATTGGGTTTCTTTTTGCTTCCCTAGCTGGTTTGGGAGTAAGACAGAGTTGATAATGATCTTCAACAGAATGCTCAACCAACAAGAGATAATGGCTTTTCCCCCCTCTTGTGTCTATTTAGCAGGCCAGTGACGCCGCTAAGACTCCCCGCCTGGTCACCCAGCTCCATTTCACCAGCTGGCCTGACTTTGGAGTTCCTTTCTCCCCAATTGGAATGCTCAAATTTCTCAAAAAGGTCAAGTCAGTAAATCCAGACTTCGCTGGGCCCATTGTGGTCCACTGCAGGTATGCAAGAGCTGAGCTAATGTAGCCTAATGTTCAGTATTTTACTGTTTACTCCTAATGGTTTTAATTATCCAATTTGTTTCTATGGAGATCAGTGTATTATGCTTAAACATCCCCTTTGTATGTGTGTGGGCTATCTCTCTGCTAAAGATGGAAACATTTGGAGTGACTATTGCAATACAAGTGTTTACAAGCACAGATGTTGCTTTGTTCCCTCCTGATGTCTGTTAACGTGCTAGTGTCAGCTGAGGATTATGGTTCACTCAGCTCAGTGTGTCATTTGTTTTCCATCTCCAGTGCTGGTGTTGGGAGGACGGGAACCTTCATTGTAATAGATGCCATGATTGAAATGATGCACGCAGAGCAGAAAATTGACGTATTTGGGTTTGTCTCCAAGATACGAGAGCAGCGCTCGCAACTCATCCAGACAGATGTGAGTTGGAGAAGGATTATGTTAGCCACATGACGTAACGCTAACACCTGGCATGTGTGTGGGACATGTGAATTATCCTTTACAGTAAATCATCTGCAACTAGGCCCATGCATAGTGTGTGTTATTCATCTGTGTGTATTTTCACTCCAGATGCAGTACTCATTCATCTATCAGGCCTTGCTTGAATACTACCTCTATGGAGACACAGAACTGGATGTTTCTTCTCTGGAAGGTCATCTGCAGAAACTGCACAACACCTTTAATGATGGTGATCGCATTGGCCTGGAGGAAGAGTTTAAGGTAGCACCTCTTTTTACATTCAGACCCATAAAGGATCCCATCTAACAAACGCTCACACAATATTACAGACTAAACTTAGAAATCTCTGAAGAAAACCTAACAAAAATGCAGTTGTTTCTTTATTAGTCATTTTAACTTATTAAGCTTTTTATTTGTCAGTTATTGAAACACTTTTCATAAATGTTATGAAGCATGTAAAGGTTCTGGAAACTATGAACCTGCCCACGCAGGCACTAAAAATATACACTAATAATCAATGCAAAAGAAATTCTAGATTTTTCAATCCCCTTCAGTCATATCACTTCTAAGAACATATAGTGCAGTCAAAAGGTACTTAGCTTCTTCCCCAGTTCTTTTTTTTTTTTTTGCATATTTGTCACATGTTTCATATCAAACAGATCAAACAAATTTTGGTGATCTGAAACCACTCTTCTTCAAAATCAGCAAAGAAGACCAACTCATTGCAAATGATCACGAATGGTCAAAGTCCGTTATTAGGTTTAGACAAGACACGTACACATAGATAGCTGGTTTACTCTTAATAAATGAAATCATGATGTAAAACTGCCTTTTTATTTCCTTTGGTTATCTTTGTCTAAACGTATCTGAAATATGTGAAAGAAAAAAAAACAAAAATCAGCACACCACTGCACATATAAACCTGACTTGCATACATTCCTCTATTGCTGCATGAGAATTCAATTGTGCTACAAAATGGTCATTATGATTTATCATCAATGCTGCAGCTTAGTTTATTTCCCCTGTTTTGATTCATAAACCATATTTTATAAAGTTGTAACATTTAGATTTTCCTTGTTTAGAAACTGACTAACATGCGCATAATGAAAGAGAACATGAGAACAGGAAACCTCCCAGCCAACATGAAGAAGAACAGAGTTCTGCAAATTATTCCCTGTAAGTAAGATGAAATCCATATAAATAACCAACTTATGTCAAATTTTGAGCTGCAGATTACATTGCCTGCAGCTGCCTTTAGAATGTTTTTCTAATTCTGTCCCTTGCAATACTTACAATAGCATACTACCGTACTAATGTAAACATGTTTTTGAGTTTAATCTGCGTGTTCATGATGTACTGTTTCCATTTCAGATGACTTCAACAGAGTAATTCTTTCCATGAGAAGAGGTCAAGAGTACACAGACTATGTCAATGCGTCTTTTATAGATGTGAGCATATTGTATTTCCTAATTTGTTCTTTCTGAGGTTTTAAGGTATTTGTGTTAACACAAATAGTTGTACCGATGAAGCTTTATATTATACTGATAAAGTCCTTTATATTTTGATTTGACTCAGGGCTACAGACACAAGGACTACTACATTGCCACACAGGGCCCTCTGCAGCACACAGTGGAGGATTTTTGGAGAATGGTGTGGGAGTGGAAATGTCACTCCATAGTCATGCTCACTGAGCTCCAGGAGAGGGAGCAGGTAAGCTGCAGTAACTAATCGCTGCAAGCCAGCTACGATTGATGGCTTTAATAAACACAACAAATACACACAACATAAAACGTCCCAGTTCTGATTTCCTGCCTTTGTCACGAAACTGTACATTTATTTAAGTTCATATTTATGAAGTATTTAACTTGTTAAACTGCAGTTTCTTTTATTCATCGCTGTGAGTAAACAAATGTTCATCTGTTTTGCAGGACAAATGTTGCCAGTACTGGCCGACAGAGGACTCAGTCTCCTATGGAGACTACACAGTAGAGCTAAAGGGAGACACCCTGTGTGAAACCTTTAGCCTACGAGACTTGGTACTCACCTTTGTTCCGGTAAGCAAATTAAACCTGTCCTATCAATACAGGCAAATGTAACACGCCTGCTCTGCATCTTTATCAGTTATCGTGAAATAAAGGCTTTTATTGATCCTTCATGCAATTCCTTTATATAAAATAATTGGTTTTTAGAATATGAAAATTGAACAAGTGTCACAACACAACATAAAATAACTCCATTACAACTTCTGAATTCTTACCCAATTAAACAATAATAATGGATTGGATTTATACAACGCTTTTCAAGGCACCTTACAATGCCACTATTCATTCACTCTCACATTCACACACTGGTGGAGGCAAGCTACGGTTGTAGCCACAGCTGCCCTGGGATAGACTGACAGAGGCAAGGCTGCCATATCGCGCCATCGGCCAACACCAGTAGGGTAAAGTGTCTTGCCCAAGGACACAACGACCAGGACAAAGAGCCCGGGGATCGAACCGGCGACCTTCCGGTTACAGATGCGCTTCCCAACCCCCTGAGCCACGGGGCGACTGTGGCTCAGGGGTATCAAATAAATAAAGGATAACGATATAACATTAAAAAATAAATAATTAAAAGCATCTTGCCATTAGCACGTCTTAAAATTAGGCAAATAGGACCTCAGATGAACACTACCACGTTATTTACACCACGTCATTTAAAGAAAACTAAGCCAAACTGTAGAAACAGTCGGTAAAATAACTAAGAATCATTTTCAGAATGGTTCTTAGTCATCAATCATACACTTTCTGTATGATTTTTTTTTTAAGCCAATCACTTTTAGAATATCTGCTGTGCATGAGCTAATGTGGCTCCAGCTTTAGCTTTTGGGCAGATGTCCTCATGTTATGAATTTGCTGGGAGATCCACTGGTGGGAAGATTGGTGGCTGTGTTGAATGTTGTGATCTAAAGTTTGACAGAGAGATACCGATAATGATTTGGTGATTTTCTTTCTTTTTTCTTCTTCTTTTTTTTAAGAAAGTCAATATATCTGAAGATAATTTTTTACCTTTTACAGACGTGAAACAAACAGATTTGTTTCATTCATTGGTCCTTACTAAGACGATATAGTGATGCAGTTTAAAAATACTACCGTTTTATTGACACAACAAGTTATGAATTACAGAGAATACGTGTGTACCCTCTGGTGGACAAACTATGTATTGTCTCGTTTCAGTTATCGAGTGTTTTAAATGCAAAAACCAATAACAGCAGCAATCTCTCTCACTGTAGTTTAGTGTTTGTCAATGAGCTTATAGCCCTTCCCAGCAGCAGCTGCTTACCTAAGATCCCTGCTGATGTTTTGTCATGTATGCTTGTATTTACCCGATTTTCAAACCTCTTACGGACAAGGTTTTTTTTTCTATTATGTCCTGATACATAAAACCTTACAACTGAATAAGGGTGTACTATATATTTTTTAAATTGCTGTATTGCAATGATTTTCAAATCGTTTAAACTACAGATGTGAGTGAAAATGGTATAAAGATATCAACAATTGAAATGACAGATTAGTTGCTTAGTACAGTGTTAGTTAAAAGATGAGTGGGATTTTTTTTAGAAAGTTGAAAGTATTTTTATCTTTGTAAAGCTAGACAGGCTCTAATACAATTGGCTAACAGCAACAAATCTCTAAGTGAGTATATCGAGCTCTCTGGGCTGCCAGAGGGAAAAATGAGGATAGGAAGTGTTTAGGGTTATCAAGCGGGAGCCTCCCATCTCATATATTTTATTTAATTCGACCCACCTTACCTCCCAGAGGCTTTGTAGTACATTCCTGCCTCCCTGGGCCTCACCCATATGTCCACCACTCGTCTGCTGCACGTTTCACCTATACTGACGTCACACTTGCCATTACGCTTTCATATGCTGCTAATAAATCATATTTGAACGATATTATGATCTCTCAACCGCCTGTGGGTTTCCTCTCAAAGGAGAAGCAGACAAGGATGATCAGGCACTTCCACTTCCACGGCTGGCCAGAGATCGGAATCCCGGCCGAGGGGAAAGGCATGATCGACATTATCGCCGCAGTGCAGAAACAGCAGCAGCAGTCTGGGAACCACCCCATTGTTGTACACTGCAGGTGCAACACATAGAACTCTATTCATATAAATATTATATACACTTACCTTGTCACATTTGTTGTCTTCTTTTTTATCTGACAATATAAAATATAGAAGGATTTTTGCATTGCAAACACTGTTCGTGCTTTGTGTGTCCTGCAGTGCTGGTGCAGGGCGAACAGGTACGTTCATTGCACTGAGCAATATCTTGGAGCGAGTCAAGGCAGAAGGCCTGCTGGACGTGTTTCAAACTGTGAAGAGTTTACGCATGCAGAGGCCTCACATGGTCCAAACAGTGGTGAGTGGTTCCCAAGTATTTAAAAGCACTAGAAAAATGTCTCGCTTTACCTCTAGTGTCGCTGATTTTGTAGGCAATTATGTGTCCATCTTTAACCATCTTTTTGTTTTTCTTTCCATCCCACAGGAACAATATGACTTCTGCTACAGGGTGGTACAAGACTTTGTTGACATTTTTTCAGACTATGCCAATTTTAAATGATGAGATTTGCCTTAAACACGGTTTTTAAATGTTGTTTTCTAAAGCCAGTTTGTCAGTTTTATGCGTTTCTTTAACTTGGTTAAAATAATCTTCTATTTTGCTATGCACTTGTCCTACCATTAACTCCAGCTCCTTTCTCGCTGTAATATATGGTATGTCAGTCGATGAGAATTGTAAATGAAAAAGCTAGATTAATAATGTATATTTCACAACATGTATGATCATTTCTTCGTCATGAAGTGTTGTTTCAGAGTCCGATTTTAGTTTTGTTGTATAATATTGTACTTTAAATGTTTGTGTTATTTTGGATTGACCACATAATATTTTTAAAAGTTGTAGTTATTGTAAATGTATTTATGTATTGACAATGACATTCCTGTCTTTTATTTGGAGAAGATGGCAGGAATGTTAATATTTGTTTTATGTTGTAGTTAATTGTACACATACATTCTTTCATTTTGATGACTTCTGAGATTAGAGGTGATACTGAAACTGTTTTTCATTCTCCTCGAGCTACATGGCCATCACGATTGTGATGCTTTTTCCAATGGAAACGGTGTCTGAAAATGAATGAATGAATCACATCAACCATAATGCAGAGGGCATAAAGTTACGCACCAAAGGCTGAGGTGACGATACATAGGTTTTAGTTTGTTTTTTTAAAAATATGGACTGAGGCAGAAGTTCAACAGACGTAGCAGAATCGCAAAAGATTCTTAACCTTTAACGTTTTGTACCTCAAAAGGTCGTGTAACTGCAGTGAACATGGATGTAACATAACTAGAGTCTGCCTTTTGTCTGTAGACAGCAAAAAGCATTTTGCTAAAGTGGCTGCACATTAACAAGCACACAACTAAGCCTTTTACCAAGAACCTGTAATACTGAAGAGCATGTTTACTGCTTTATTTGTATTTTAGACTAGAGTTTTACACAAATTAGTGCCATATGTACTTTTTAAAGACAGGAAGTGTGGTCTCCAAATGTAGTAATTGCAGTATAATTTTACGATGCACAGTCACAATACAGGGAAGTAATAGAAGTTCATCATTAATCCTCAGTCCTGTAATGGCAAAAACCACAATATACCAATGTGGTGCTTCAGTGCCTGTCTAATGCCAGAGAAACAAAAACAGCCCATTATATCTACGTCTACTTCTTTGACATCTTTTAGATTCCATTGGTTTGTTTTGGCACAGTGGTAAAAATGAGGAAGCAGAATGTTTTAAATAAAAACTGTCCAGTGGAGTTTGAGTCTTTTGAAAGTATCTGAATGTTTGAGCTTTTCTGTGCATTTTTCTGAGGTAAATCCATCTGGTACTCCATTAGCAATTTTGTTGATGCTGTATGTAAATATAGGCTGACATGACAAAGTGCTAACATTGTGAAATTCGCTGAACAGCAAGAACCTGTCAAGTGATTGGTCATATTTTCGTGCGCTAAATGTATATGTCTGTGGGAGATGTGAGGTTAAGCACAAGAAACAACCCAAGTCTATTTTTCCCATGGCTCCTTTTCTGTCCGTGCACCCTTTTTGAGAAACTCGAGGAGAGGCTGTTTAACCTACAGCTCTACCTTTGCTATCTCTGTGGGTGGCCTATCCCTTTTTTGACTCTCAGTGTCTTTGAAATGCAAATTGCAATATTAAAATCTTCTGAAAATGCTGCGGGTGTCTCAAAAAAATGTCTTCAATATGCAACAGCTTTTATGTTTCATTTCAAATTTAGGTGAGATACACAGGAGACAGCTTAAGCTGCCAGTTTGGTTTGTTTGTTTTGCTTTTGAATCAGTGACAGCGGGGTGTTCTTAATGCGATATTTGTGTGGAGAAAATGCTGCATTCACTCTACATAACAGAATTGCACTTTAACTGTAAATTAGTACTATAACTTTCATATCAACTATTTGCCATGGTTTTTACACATAATTATATGTTGTATCTTACTTCTAAAAAAACAAAACAAAAAAACCCCACACAACCCAAAAACTATTAATCTACCTAGCTCAAGCTCAGGAGATAGAGCAGATCATCTACTACTCAGATTGGTGGTTCGATCCCTGGCTGTTACAGTACACATGCCAAATATCCTGTGGAAAGGTACTGACCCCAAGTTGCTCTCTGAAGGAATGTGTGTGAATGTTTGATTCTTGTATGAATGTGAACGTATGATTGAGGCATGTTGTATAGAGCACTTTGGACTGGTTCCTAGAGCCCTGGATGTCTGCACAACAATAGGCATTTCCCAGCATACATTTTTACTTAAAGCAGGAAAAACATATAAACACTGGCCACTTCATTAGGTACTCCTTTTCAACTGCTCCTTAATGTAAATATCTAACTCGGCCAACCACGTGGGAGGCACTCAGTGTGAACTGAGAATCAGAATATAGACGAGGGGTGATTTAAGTGACTCTGAATGTGATGGTGCCAGACAGGCCAGTCTGAGTATTTCAGAAACTGCTGATCTGAGTTGTCAGAGACAATTCCTTGTTTAATTCAGAGAAGCAAGGATTGATTAGTTCAAGATGACAGGAAGGCAACATACAGGAAGGCCATGACGTTAACGCCATTTTATGTGAATCGTAAGACAATAAAAATTTCTAAGTGTGCAGTTTACCTTCTCTTTTTAAGCAACAGTGGAGACATACCACAGACGAACACTAGCCACTAACATGCAAACATCAGAGAAAAACCGTAATGTCAATGTCTATACAAAAGACTGTTTAAGAAAAGAAAGCGAAAACCTCAAACTAATTCAAAACATACTCAGTAACAAAGAGGTTTTGTTTGTCCCTCCTTACTCTTCCTACACTTCCATTCTATAAACAATGAAAAAAGTCAGATTTTTTTAACTTGTATATTTAGTTTAAGCCAACAGGGGTCAGTACGCCTCAATCTATATGTAAAGAGTTTTTAATTAAAGGGGCCATTGATCCCCATTAACTGTAACTGCACACCATCAAAAAAGAAACTACAACAAGCTACACATAGGCATACAACACCATACCAAAAACATATGCAAAACAAACAAAACAGCTCCTTACAACACAAATTATTCCCCATATCAGGGTGAGCATTGTGAAAATTATACATTTATCGCGATATCAATTCATGTTAACAATTTCTACCTGCAGTTACAAAAGTCATAGCAAATACATACATTTGAAAAACTATTTTTCCTTTTCTTAAACCAAAATAAAGTTTTTTGGGTTTCCCGGGTTACTAGTTTGGGGCTAGAATAATCATATCCCTCTATGCTGTTTTGTGCATTTCTGTACAAAATAATTGCAGCAGCTCCTCTCTACTGGCCAATCACAGCAGCTCCTCCATCACTTACAAAGCCAAGAAACGATGTGCCTGTCATTTCTTTAGAAAATAACTCATGGCAAGGTTTTCAGCAGCCCTAGTGCATAACTTCATTACAGTTTCACACACGGCAGAAAACCCAGAGCAATATGCATATTTACAAATGTGGCACAATAACAGTATCTTTATTGACACACAGCTGGCTTGGGATCTGACAGTAAATAATGTTTTGTGTTCTACTACATCATGCATGTAAGCTGTTACACACAGATTTCCGCTTTATGTGAAAAGAAAATTGTAATAAAGCACCTCTTCTCTTGATAAATGCACTCCAACTTAGTCTGAGGGCCATGCATGGTCCAATAATTTCAAATAGACTTCACATGTATACTGTTGCATCATCTGAATATGTAGAAATATTAGCCATATATATGGCTAATATTTCCAACTTTCTGGCATTCATGGTGTATGATATTTCACCAAAAACAGCAAAATAATTTCACTAAAATTTTCCATTTATAATAAAACATCTAACCAGGAAACTCTCTGAATGCTGTCTACAAATTTATGTTTAATTGAATCTCTAAAACATCTTTTATTTGATCCCGTTCTGGGTACTTCAGTTTTTGATCACCATTTATGATCACTACACCCAATTGCTACACATATTCCTCTGGAGTATAATTCTGTAACGCTGGTAAAGATGTGCTCATTTCCAATAGAGATTTTGGTCCCATCTGCCGTATTATTGATAAAACATAGATAATGTGCATTTGCTAGTTAGAAGCTTCTTTAAAATTTTTTTTTTAAAGGAAAAGCTCTGGGAAGTCTAATATTCAAGTCATAGATCTCATAATCGAGATGACACACCTGATCTAATATGTTACACATTGTATCCAGATGCAAGATGGATCTAGAGGTATAACAGAAACATAAAATATTTTTTTAAATTTCCAATACTGTTAATTTACAGCAGCTGTGGCATAAATATTGGACAAGGTGGTGGTTGCTTAAATTTGTTAAACTCTGTATGTGTGCTTACATAGCAAAAGGTTGCTGTCACCAGTCATTCAGGGAGGAGTAAAGTTAGGCTATTTTTGTCAAACAATTACATTTCCTATCCTTCAGAAAAAAACACAAGAGACAAAAAGCCTCTTTGTTGACAACTTCCTCGGGCAACCAGCGCCATGGTAACAATCCTCAGCGGGAAGAGTTGCTGCCCAAAAAAGGTCAGGATGAGTGAAGAAGTCACATGAATTATGTATTAACCCCCTAACTGACTCCATTACTTTGGTTGACCCCAAGCTAATTCTATTTTGTCATTCACAGTGCCTTCCATTTTCTTTCTAGTATAATATGGAACATGAGCCATTTACAAGCAGGATGACATGAGATGTGACCTCTCTGCTGAAATGCTTTCATATGTAGCTTTGGAAAATAACTTCTGATTATACTGAGTACGTGTCAAAAAAAAAGTCTTGTCACTAGTTCTGTCACTTTGTCCAAAACAAGCTCAAGTTCCTTTGAAAACATCTCCTGAACAAAGCAACTCTTTGAACCAACAATGAGATTTCAGCATTTCATAGAAATTATGGTAAATTATGGGTATTTAATCCTTTCCACAAAGGAAGTACAGAAGGAAAGGTGGAAAACAACTGAATTTAACAGTATTTAAAACTCAAACTCAAGCAGCAGTCAAGAAACCATTCTTAAGCAAGGAAAATAGGAAGAAAAGGCTGGTATGCTATGCCAAAATACATAAGTACTGGAAATTCATAATCAGTGGGAACAGGTCCTAGGAAGTGATAAATCAAGGACTCAAAATTGTGGTTAAAATCACTGTCAAAGGAGGTCAGGAGAGAGGTGACAGTGAGTGTCTACAGTATATACGCAGCTAATCAACGTCGTTGACAGGCTATGACAGCGTCCTTATGTGCCGACACCAGTGTTTTAGCTAACAAAGAGGTGTGGCTGATGTGGAGTGAAGCCACGTTAATGACAACGTGT